GAACAGACAGTCGTAAACGGGGTTCACCAGAGCCATCATGGGCATGTTGTTCACCTGCAAGGAGGCAGGAGCCACTGTCAGCTTGGGGGCAGAAAGGGGGGAGTCTGCAGCTATTCTAAATAGCTGTCCCCTTGCTGCTCTTCAAAGAAGGGAGCAGCATTTAGTTGTGCTGCTAAACTCCGTATTGGTGGGATTCATGTAGGAGAGCAGACACTTGAGTCTCCAGGAGCCAGAGAAGCTGCACAAATGATGTGAAACCCATCTATTTTTAAATGGAAGCAGGTAGCCATGGGAAATGCACTTGTTGCAACAGCATTTTCCTGCCTGCAGCTCTGCTTGCATCATTTTTACATCCACTCCCAGCACACACACTGCAGCAAAGGCTCGCTGATGAGCTCTGTCAGTACATGGGCTACCCACAGGTCCCGCCAGGACTAAACTAGTTCAATCTGGGACATCTGGGAGCAGGCAAAACAGGGGATTTCAAACACCAGCTACAAAACAGGGAAGCTCAGACTTTGTGACTGTTCCCAGAGAAGGCTCTGCCTCTTCAAGCCTCTTTGCTTGCCTGTAGGTAGCACCAGCCCCTGCAGCATCCTTGTGCTGAGAACCAGCTCTGGCTCCCACTGCTGAGCCATGGCCCCGAGGCTCCCTTCAGCACCCATCCACCACCCCAGCGCTGGCACCTCCGGACACCCGGGCCCTTCTGGCACCCCCAGGCAGCAGCAGCAGCTCCTGCTCCTCACCCTCAGGTAGTCGAAGATGTTGCAGATGAAGGTGACGTAGCAGATCCAGGCCTGGAGCGAGCGGGCGCGCAGCTCCTCCCGGTCCTTGTACTCCTGCTGCAGCCACCTCCGGAAGATGCTCTGCCCGACTTGTTTGCTCTCTGCCTACGAGCCCACAAAAGCAGGATGGAGGCATGAACTGGGGCAGGGGGATGCTGCTACTTGGGGGATGCAGGACTGCGGACACCCTCCTGTGACTGCCCAGCTGCAGGCAGCTGCCTGTGCTCACTGGCTGCGCATCTGGCACAGGGCAAGCAGCAGAAGAGGTGAGGGCTCATGGCACAGGACTGGGGCAAAGCCTCTCCTGGCCCAGCCCAAGGAGCAGACATGAGGAGCTCTCACCTGGATGATGGTGTAGCAGATGCGCCCTGCCTCCTTGCTGAACACGCAGTCTTTGAGGGACTGGTCCACTATAATATTGGCCACTTTCTCCAGGTCCACGTTGCTGGGGTCTGCAGAGAGGAGAAACACTGTCAGGATCCAGCACCCTTTGTGCCCTGCTTGCTTTGGAGTACCTAGAAAGCAACCAAGGTCAGCGTGGGGCCTGCTACAACCATGTAACATGGTGCAAAACCTCCTGCTTGCTCCCACATCGCAAGTCCCAGTCCCTTTCACACACCAGTTGCTTCAGAGATACCAGCTCTAGTGGTGCATGGTCCTCCCAGGCTGGAGACACAGCTGTCATGATGGGAAAGCGATGGAGAAAGCAGGTAATACAGGGAACAAGTTGATCTGAATGTGAAATCCCACCACTGCTTTGAAGCTGGGTTAGTGGGAGCCAGACGGGCAAACTCCTGCAGGGCCTTGAACAGAGATGTGACTGGTGAGCAGGAGACCCCATGGGCCAGGAGGAGGAGGTGGCCCCATGGTGTGGAGG